AAATGCTGAAAGTAGGGTTATACGAGTGGGGCTACATAAGCTACTTTTGCCTAAAAACGCGAATGCATGAGCATTAGCTGGCGATAAGAAAACTGGACCCAAACTCAGGGGTTGCAATTCATGCTGCAGAGATGGAGCACGTCTTCGGCTTTGACGCCGTGAAAAATGTGATCGGGGGTGACGATCACACATCAAGGCAGACCGACTATTCGGTAAATCGGCACATACATTTTCCGGTCCCTTATGTTGTGTTAAGGACATTCCTATCAGGGGACAGTCACGACGCAGAAAAATCGGGGCCCTCAACCAGCGATCCGGTTAACCTGCGTATCCATGAGACAGGCTATGGCGAGACGCGGGGGGAAGCGATGCGACACAGTTGACCATCGCGCGGCGAGTCCAAATAAACACTGACGCCTCAGTTGCAGACAGTACCAACGCAGATCCGAGCGCGGATTACGATGACCAGGAGGCTGCGGCGGATTGCGGTTACTATCTAGAGACGCGAGCCACTTAGAGTGACTCAAACTGGATTTGTGGATTACGCACGCGGAAGAAAGGAGCGGGATATAGCGAGAGGCAGGAGCCGGAGTGTTTACTTTCTGAAGATAAATAGACAAGACAACTATCTGAAACATCAGATAAAAATAAAGCTCTCCCAGTGACTGCGCTTCCTCCTGATTAACCACCTGGGAGTCGAGTTTTCACTACTATTACTGCAAATATGCATCAGTCCAGCAGGGCTATATAAAAGGCTTCTTGTTGATTGCCTGATTCTAAAACACATGTTTTGTTATCCTTTTTAGCTTACGCCTCCTGGAACTCGCGAGGCTCCAGAAGTGCTCAAGAAACCAGCCGCACCGGATGCCAGGACCACGCAGCTCATTCAGGGAATTCGTCGCAACCTGGATCAGGTAGCCCTTGATCTTCCCGCCTTTGAGGCCGCGGTTCAGGGTTTGGCCTGTACTCCGCCAGATGATGCTACGTGGAGGCAGTTGCATGTAAGTGGCGGCTTATGCGGAAAGTAAACCTACCCTTGTGTAGTTGTGTATGGCAAATGTTTGTGAGTACTAGCATGGGAAAGTGGGGGTATTCAGTATCTGTTTAGTCGGAGGGGCAGGACGTTTCTTTACTGATCAGCTGACACACCTGCGCCTTAGCATTCACGATTTGCTGAAATCCGTGACTTTGAGGATTGCCAACTGATGAGATGACTCGCATCGTCCGGTCAGTCCAGTGTATAGAGTGGATGATTGACGGACTGGGACTCGGACTGCAATAGCTCCTTCCACCCCTTGAGGCCCGAACCAGATTTTGCAGCATGCTAAGGGGCGGCTTCAGCTACACCAGCCGCCTGCACATTCCCTTGTCTCCGGTCTTCTAGACTGTGTCTTGATATTATGAGAAGATGAAAGAATGGAACAGAGAGCGAAGCAGATGCAGAGTGAATCTACTCTCACTATAATGTAGCGTAGGTAACCGTCCCTGCATTACCCTGCTTTGCAATACTTGGTGAACCTCGTCGAAATCGGCGGTCAATGCGGCTACAACGAGCGCTGGCTAATAAAAAAGACACTACTGAGCAGAAAATGATCACTAGAGCATGTCAAAGCGCAACTGCGAATTGGTAAGCTACAGAGCGATCTGCCGACCGGCCGACCTTTATATACGAGTTGTATGTAATAGTATATTTGGTTACTTCGGTTCAAGGAGCCAGAACTATCTTTAGTGACGGTTCAGTTATGCACAGACTGTGCTGAGTATGCTCATCTCTGTGAATATATATAGAATGAAACTGATCCATCTTCAAAAGAGTTCCCAAAACCTACCGCATATATGCGAACTAGAAAATGGAACGGCCATTTCTGCTCTGTGTAATTTATTAGCCAAACCGTGAAATGTGGCCTAAAGTCATCGAGCCTTGTTCCACAGGCGCACTCAAACCTTCAAATATGAGAGTTTATTCTCCTTTATTTTTTATTTATTTATATTTAAAATATCCTCACGAACTCCCGTATTCCCTTGTAGGCCACTGCTGACCGCCTCCAGGACGTCCAACGAAGACTGGAAGTCTACATCGAACCTCTCACCGATCCCAAGTTAGAAAGCAGTAGGGAGAAGGAGGTTACGCTTGATGAGTTGATGCGAGTGAATGAGAAGATTTATGTTAATATCCAGCAATTCCAGTCATTTGAGAGAATACGCCCTGGCCAGGAGGAGGTATATACTGTTTATATTGTTTCCCGAACAATAGCCGTTTGACCGATACGTCGATTTATGGGATACTTGTTTTGGGAAGCTTGAAACTGTTGGACCGTTGTTGATGATGTTATTTGGTAGGATAAATCATTTTGAGCGATTGGCGTCTGGATGTAATTAGTCTGGTTGTGAAATCCTTGAAAAAGTCGAAGCAGTCGTGGAAGGTGTTCCGTGAATTGAAGTCGTGCTACCTTTGGCGTTTTTTACTAACGAATGGTCTTACTCACCACAAGTTTAATGGTACTATTTCTGCGGTGGTTTTCATGGACGCGGAGGTTTCTCACAAGGCCACTATGAGCCCTGAATTAACATTGGCAAGGTAGACTTCAAGATCTAGCCTCTTCTTTTGTGGCTTTGTTTCACGCTACTGCAGATATATTTA